ATAGGGTCGCTACAAGTTGGAATTGACTCGATGGCAAAGGGTTTTTAATGTCATCCTAGAATATGGAATACGGAGACTGTACCACAGCTAATGGCAGAGATTAAAAACATTACTGTTTCTTCTAGAGCAAGGAAGTACAGATGTGAGCAGCAAAGGGCAATGGCTGTGAGCAGAAAAAGATCCACAGACTTACCTGAGAGATGATGCAGGGATGCAAAAATCAGTAGGACTAGGTGCTTCGTTGAATGATAGTAAGTGACTTATTAAAGATGATTCCAAGGTAGTCCTGTGATAGCAAGAGTAGTTTGTAGGTGAGAAAATCTAAGGCACAGAAAAATGAAATAACTGATGCATAAGTAAAATGAACTTAAACATTTAAGGACAGATGCCGCTTCTAAAATGTATTGTGGGTGATGTTGTCATCTTTTAGGATTCAGTGTCACTGAGGCCAGTATAACTGGACAGTTAGACCATGGTTGTATATATTGAGAGACCCTGCTATGTCCCCTTCTAGGATTTTTGGCATGCTTATGTATTATTTCATGAGTGTAATGTTTTAAGTACTGTGTGTCTAAGAATAGATCTCTGCTTTGTAAATCTGAGAGAAAGTTGAAGCAAATGGTTAATGTTTTTATTGTTATCTCCGGATTGGCATTGTTTCTCTGCTCAATCAGGTAATAGAGGCAGTGCCTTGGAGAGGAAATTGCGTAGGATTTAAGGTCAAACCAGCACTGAAGTCCTAATTTCTGCTTACTACAGTGTAAAGTGAAGTTGCTATGAAAATGAAAAGGAGCAAAAATGCATTGTAAACTCTAAAGTGCTGAACAGTGTTCTAGCAGGATTAAGGGGAATCAAGGATATTAAGATGGTGGAATAGCCAGGAATATTAACATAGTCATCAAATAGTTATTGAGAATCTGCTACACAGCAGGTACTGTTCTAGCTCTGAGGATATATCTGATATATATAAGAAGGGCAGAATTGTACTCACGAACCTTTTATTTTAGTATGGGAGACTTAAAAAAGGCAAAGAAATGAATTATATAATTTCAGGGCTATCAAGAAAAATAATGGTTCGTAGTGACAATATATTATTGTCAGAGCATTTTTAAAATGCTTCTCAAAAATTCATGCAGAGAGAAGCTGAAATGAGCTGTCCAAATGAGGTGGCCTGACGTTGGCAAGTGGCTGGGCCCTGGAGTCAGAACTAGGTCCACATCCCAGCTTGACCACCTGCTGGCTGTGTGGCCTTAGGCACTTTGCTTCACGTTTTCTGAGACTGATTTTCCTCACTTAGGAAATGGAAGCAGTAACTCCTCTTTCAGGGTTACTGTAAGCGTTGGCATGTGGCAGGTGCTCAGTTCATAGTGGTTATCATGGTCAGAGGACTAAAACAAGAATTTGGGGAGTACCAGCACAGAGAAAGGGTTACTTTTTTTTTTTTTTTTTAAACAATGTAATGGTAGCATATGCTATAATGCTGTTGTAACGACTTCCAAGAAAGGGCAGTTTGTGACATTTTTCTCTCTTACAGGAAAAATGCCAGTTGTGGAACAAGGAGTGCAGGCCGCACGACCTCAGCGGGCACTGGGGGGATGTGGCGATTCTACACAGAAGATTCACCTGGGCTCAAAGTGTAAGTCTGGGGAACAGACCTCATGCTTCTGTCCTTATCAGCTAGCGGTTTGGCAGTGCTATCTGTCTGCCACCCGTGGTGCTTGCTTTGATGAGATTTATGATACACATAGCTTTGTTTGTGCCAGGTGGGCTGGCTTTGGTTTGCCCATATATCAACTGATTAGACAGTTTAGACCCTGGAATGACATCTCTCCATGCATTGAGTGAGAGGAATGGCAGCGCTTCATGTAGCTATGTCAAAGTAAATGATGGGAACAGAGAGAACTGGAGGGAAAACTGCTTAATTAGATGAAATTGCTCTTCATTTGGTGTTCTTGTCCCACAATGAGAAATAGGGGTAACCATTTGAATAGGAATTGGGTGATTTTTCAAAGCTGTCCTGGAGGCATAGTTGATATGATTACAGCCTAATAGAAGTTTCTCCATTAGACTGTGTTACCAAAAGTTCTTTTGCCTCCTTGCTGTCAGTGGGTGGTGAGTAAACCCCAGGGAGTGAACATATCACTTTTCAGGTTCTTAGCCCTGGGAGCGTTCATTAACAACAACAACAAAAATCATTGCCGTTGAGTCGATTCCGACTCATAGTGACCCTATAGGACGGAGTAGAACTGCCCCATAGGGTTTCCAAGGAGCGACTGGTAGATTGGAACTGCTGACCTTTTGGTTAGCAGCCAAGCTGTTAACCACTGTGCCACCAGGGCTCCAGGGATTGCTTATTAGGTGATAGGAAATGGGCATTCTGGGGAGCCTTGTCTCCAACCCTTGCTCACCTCACTGCCAGGCTTGCTGGTACCATGTGGCAGACCTAATCCCACCAAAATCTGATTGGAATAGCCTGTAGAATGCCACTGCTTACAGCTGTTTCTTGACTAAACCTAGTGGATGAAGAATGGGAATAACAGCAACAACTCTTATTTGCATATCCCCTGGTGCTTTGTGAAGAGCTGTCAGTATCTGTTTTCTAATTTGATCTGCCCAGTAATCCTCTGAGACAGGAGATGTTTGGCATTTTGCAGATGAAGGAGCTCAGATCAGAGAGGCAAAGTGACATACTCAAAGACAAACAGCCAAGAAGTGGAACCAAATATTCTGACTGTTAAATCTGTTCTTCCCATACTGCCTGTCTGGTAGAAAAAAAGACCAGATTAGATTAATATGGACTTGTTTAACTAATTTAACCAACAGTTTTACTTGGGTTGCAATTATGGTCTATGAGGGCTTCCCTGGAATTCTTGCCATTTGATTTTATTGATCGATTGATTTTTTTTTTTCCTGTTATAGTGGAGATTTGTGTAGCAAGGTAAGAATGTATTTAGGAAGTAATTCTTGGGGCTGGGGACATGGGGATTGGCAGTGTTCTGACTGACAACCTTTTGGTCTTTGTTAGAGGTAATTTTTCTGAGTATTTTAGAGAGAAATTTTGAAGCCTCTTACTCTTCAGAGTATCCAGAGGATTCCTTTTAAACCCTTCTCCAGAAGGTGGGAGAAACCTATTCTCCTAAGGGTGAGCCTGACTTGTGCTTGCTTGGACTTTCTGCTGTTGTGCAGCCTGGTTTGCTTGCTGCTGTTGCTTGAGTCCTCCTAGAAATTGATAGAAGCTGTTCCTTAAAGTATTATAAACCACATTCTCATCACACCAGAGACAAGTGTTTTTGGTTAAAGGACACAGTTGAAAATTCCTGTCCCCAAGTTCACATCTTGGAGCAGCTTAACCATGTTTTTGGCTCTTCCTAGGAATTTATAATTTTTGTTTTCAGGTGATAATAATAGCATTTACTGAGTGCTTACCATAGGGTAGTGTAGTGTGTGTATTAATTTATTTAATACCTCAGCAACCCTATGAGGTAGGTACTGTGATTGTCTCCACTTTACAGATGAAGGAACAGGCTTGGAGAAGGTAAGTAACAGGGCCAAGCTCATAGTTCCTAAGTGACAGCTGGTTTCCAGCCCCTTGCAATTTGAGAGCTGTACTCTCAGCTAGTATACTCCACGACTGATGTCACTGTACCATTGCTGTAAAGCAGTGGAGTGTGATCAAGTGCAGTGTGGAGATGTTCTCTTCCCAGGTACTTTTAAGTTTGTTTACTCCCTTAATTGTATAAATTTTAGAAGAACGAAATAGTAGTGTAGCAAAGGCTTTGATCTCTAGGCATCATTTATTGTCCACTAGTGGCTTCTGTTACCCCTGCTACTCCACTGGGGTTTCTTCTGTTGCCTTGATGATTATAAAGATTCCTTTTCTGTGGTCGTTTTCATTGTCCCCAGTTGTATTTGGGTGGCGAGGTGAGACTTCTTGAATTCTCCAAAACGCGTGTTGGCAGGAAGAGTCAATGAGTGGGGCCTGTAATATTTCACTAAATTAAATTATTTACAGGCTATGTAAGATCAATGGGCTCTCCCTTTAAAAAGAACCTATATACAGTACTCGTTTTAAACTTGAAAAGTATTAGATTTAGGGACAGGCTGATGAGTAAAATCAACTTCTGTCTATAAAAACTCATAAATCAAACTTAATAAATGTTGCCTAGAATGTTTGCTTCTTGAAGGTGGGAACCTTGAGGCAGTAAAATGAGTGATACCTGTAAAATCAGAAAACCTGAGTTCAAATCTCTCTTTTTTGGCTATGTGTTAGAAAGTAATAATCTCACTAAACCTCAGTTTTCCTTATTCATAAAATGAGATTAATATCTCTTACCTACCTCATGTGTTTATTGTAGAGATCAAATGGGGTAACATATTTGAAAACACTATATAAATTATAGCATGATACTCATCTTTGTATACCTCGTACCTTGCAGTTAGGTGATGAAGATTGTTGTCTTTAAACGAATCTTAATTTGAAAAAAATTAGTTTGATAATTGGATCATTTGTACTTAGAGTTCGGGAAATTTTTCTTCTTACTTTTATTATGGAAAACATCAAATATATGGAGGTAGAGAGACTAGTGTAAAGAGCCCTCGTGTGTCTGTCATGTAGGTTCAGTGGTTATCAACTGATGGCCAGTCTTGTTTCCTCCGTGGTCCCACCCACTCTGCACTGCTCCATCCTATTTTGAAGCAAATCCAAGACATCACACGTTTTATCTGAATTTATTTAAGTATGCTTCACTAAAAGATAAGGACTCCTCTTTTCTAAATAAAATCACAGTGCCACCACCACACCCTCAAAATATCCACAGTAACTATTCGGCAGATATTTCAAAATGATGTAGATAATGTTCCTGGATGAATCCTGAGTGGTTTTTTCCCCCTTCTCCTAGGCAATCATTAGTATTGAAAATATAACAATCTATTATTACTATAAGTAAGTATGCCTTCTCTTCTTATTTCTAGTGGCCCTGTTCCAGTATTGGTTATGAGTCTTCTGTTCATCGCTTCTGTATTTATGTTGCACATTTGGGGCAAGTACACTCGTTCATAGATTCGGCTACATCCATCTGTCTTTCATCCGAAGAAGAAGGAAAAAACCCAACATATCTTGGACCAAAAGCATAGTGATTTTTTGTTCATGAGACAGAAATATTCTGTAAGCTTACTGTTTTACAGGGAAATTAATGAGAATTGATTTTGAGGAATCAATTTTTTTTCCTTTGGCTAATAAACTTTTTAATTATTTTATACCAAGTCTGATTGCTGGTGCTTGACTGTTAATGCCCTTAGTCTCTCTGTCTTTAGATTTACAAGTAAATACATAGAACATAGATCTTGTGGAAACTGTTTTCTGTGTTGGATTCACAGTTTCTTATATGACCATGTAGTCATTCAAAACCAAGATACTGTAATTTGCCTTGGCTTTTTTTTTTTCCCCTAGATAATTCTGTCCTGGTGATTGTCACTTTGGGTATTCTGCAGTTTTCAAGGAGTGTGCCTGTAAGTCCAGCAGGCAGATTTGTGTTCAAAGGCAGCTGGTACTTAGGGGAATAATCAGAGAAATCACAAATCAGAAATCTTGGATGAAATGTTTGCTCGTTCTGTTCTTTGTCTCTAAAACAGTAGATAATATTTTTGCCTCTTTTCTCTCAGTTTTTAATTCTATGAATGTAGACCAGGGGCTTTCATCTATTTATCTCTAAGCCCACACTTGAAAAAATTCATTTGGTAAATTGGATTAATCAAATAAAATTATTTTCATTTTGAAAATTAAAGACCTGTCTAATCAGAGTGAGATACCAGTATTTCTATACTGAGTTGATGTAATTCCAGCCCAAAATAAGAATTTTTGAAGTTTCACTTAGCATGTGTTTACCTTATTGGATGTAAGTATTCAGTTTCTGGTAGATCCTAGGAAATAGAGTAGCTCAAAGATAGCACACTCCAAGGGCCAATACTCCAAGCCAGAATTTCTGAAGAGTATGTGATCCATGTAAAATGCCCTAGTTGTTCAGGAGAATCACAAAATGAGGTGTATCAGTTAAAAATCAGATAATTTTAAAAAGCATTTTTTCTCATAAAGTAAGCCTTTTTTTTTTTTAAATTGTGTAATTCTGTTTATATGACATGTCCAGAATAGGCATATCTGTAGATACAGACAGTAGATCAGTGGTTGCCAGGAGCTGGGGGAAGGCAGAATAGGGAGTGACTGCTAAGGTATATGGAGTTTCTCTATGGGGTGATGAAAATATTCTGGAATTAGACAGTGATGGTGTTTGCATAACTCTATGAATATACTAAAAACTACTGCATTGTACTTGGCTGTCCTTTAATCTGGAACAGTTCCGCAGTCTTTCATGACATTGACAGTTTTGAAGAACATTGTTATTAGTTGCCATTAAGTTGGCTCTGACTTACAGTGACCATGTGTATAACAGAATGAAATGTTGTCCAGTCTTGGGCCATCTGCATGATCTCTCCAACCTAGGAGGCTCATCTTCCAGCACTATAAAAAACCAAACAAGATCTGTTGCTGTCGAGTCGATTCCGACTCATAGCGACCCCATAGGACAGAGTAGAATTGCCCCATAGGGTTTTCGAGGAGCACCTGGTAGATTCGAAGTGCTGACCTTTTGGTTAGCAGCTGTAGCTCTTAACCACTATGCCACCAGGCTTTTCTCCAGCACTATAAGGTAAGCCTATTCTTAAAAACATTTCTAGAAAAGTGAAACAGTTTCATGTTTTTCTTAAATCCTGAATGTAAAGTAATTATAGGTCCAAAGTGCCAAATTTAAATGATGAAAGCGTTTATCTTTAAAAAAAGATTACCTAGTACAATATATAGGAAACCCTGGTGGCGCAGTGGTTAAGAGCTAGTGCTGCTAACCAAAAGGTCTACAGTTAGAATCCACCAGGCACTCCTTTGAATCCCTGTGGGGCAGTTCTAGTCTGTTGTTTAGGGTCACTATGAGTCAGAATTGACTCGATGGCAATGGGTTTTTGGTACAATATATGGGTGAGTGTACTCTTATAAATCTTAACCAATGTGTTTATATTGGGAACAAAATGATGAAAAACTTGTTCCCTTGGGTCCTGGGAATTGCTTATTGCATGAGATAGGTATCTTCTTTTTTGAAATGCAGGCCAAAAAGTCTGCATTTCATTTGGAAGACATGAAAGACAGTAGTATCTGTAATATGAGCTTTTCTGATATTCAGATCAGTGATACCAGTAACAGTTAAAAGTTATACCTTTGATTTGAAGAAGAAATGTGTTGTTCTGTCCTGTTTTTCTCTGGGGGAGATGATGAAGCCATGTTGGGGAGTTATTTGGTTGTGAGAGGTGTATTCTCTTTCCTGCATAATGCTGCCCGATAGCCCTGTCTGCCCACCAGTGGTCTAAGTCACTGAGTTTTCTGAACTAGTGATTTTATAAGAAAACACTAGTTTCCAGTGCCAGAGTGTTATGGATTGAATTGTGTCCCCCCAAAATGTGTCCACTTGGCTAGGCCATGATTCCCAGTATTGTGTGGTTGTCCCCCAGTTTGTGAAGTAATTTTCCTATGTGTTGTAAATCCTAGTCTCTGCCTGTGGTTAATGAGGCAAGATTAGGTTATGTTAAAGAGGATTAGTGGTATGCAACACCCTTACTCAGGTCACAGCCTTGATCGGATGTAAGGGGAGTTTTCCTGGGGTGTGGTCTGCATCACCTTTTATTTTACAAGACATAAAAGAGGAGAGAAGAAGCAGAGAAGGAGGGACCTGCTACCATCAAGAAAGAAGAGCTGGGAGTGGAGCATGTCCTTTGGACCCAGGATCCCTGTGGTGAGAACCTCCTAGACCTAAGGGAAGATTAATGAAGATCTTTCCCCACAGCAGACAGAGAAAGCCTCCCCATAGAGACGGTACCCTGATTTCAGACTTCTGGCCCCCTAAAGTGAGAGAATAAATTTTTGTTTGCTAAAAATACCCACTTGTGGTATTTCTATTAATAGCAGTGCTAGATAACTAAGACACAGCAAGGAGATGCTTCATTCAGCAAAAGGAAGAGAAGGAAAATTGGGGACTGGGAGTAAAGATGTGTAACATCTAGTATGTATCTGTTTTTTTTTTTTTTTTTTTGCTCTGACTATACAATAATCATACCATAGCTGAAAACTTTAGTGTTCAAACTGTTCCCTTCTTTTAAAATAGGGATTCCTAGGCTGTGTTTCCTGGGTCCCAGGGGCCCACAAGCCATTTATATTATTTCCAAAAGCCTAACAAATTAGATCTTTACCTGAGTTAAGGCTACCTTGGCCCAAAGAATCGTCAAGCTCCTTTTGCTGTGGGCTGTAATTCTAACCACTTCTGAGTAGACACATAAGCCAGCACATGCTGAGGAGAAACGGCAAGTGATTAAATAAAATGAGGAAAATGAATTACATTATAAATGAAGTTTGGAATGAGCCTTTTAAGTCATTGGAGAAAGACCATGTTAGGGAAAGGGCCCAAAGGTTCCTAAGACTCGTGAGGGGTAGAAAGACTAGTACTACCCTGAATGTGTTCCAGTAAAACAGTGGATGGGGATAGATCTGTTCCTGGGAGAGGCTAAATATGACTTAGCTTCTGTTTTCACACCTGTACTAGTCTAGACTCCAGTTTTTTACCAGGTGCCAATGTCCCCATAGGAAGAATTGAAAAGATATTCTGAAATCATGCAAATGTTGGCATCGAGTTAAAATAGATGAAAATGTCTACAAAGCTGGCTTCTTTGAACACAAAATACTGCATGGTATGTGGAGCTCTTATATGCATGGCGCCAGCTCTACTTTCCCTCAGAACTGCCCCTGCCAAGTACCAGAGCAGCATTGCTTCTCAAATGCTGGAGGAGGAGGCTTCAGGCAGGACCCACTTTGTTTGGCTCTTGGGTGCAGTATTAAGTCTTCCAAACTTACTGTACCTATTTTACCCCGTCTTCCAGGCTTGGAGGTATTCCTGATAAAATCAGACCTGGGTTAAACTGCTGGCCCCGTGACTTACTGGTTGTGAGATCTTGGGCCACTTGCTTCCCTTCTCTGGTCTCATTTTTCTTGTGTGTAAATGAGAATGAGTGACAATTCTTACCAACTAGGAGGATTAAATGAGAAGAAAGAGGCAAGAGTGCTTTGTTAATTAGCTAACAGTTATCAAGTGCTTATTCTCAATTTTGGAGACATAACATCTTATTTAATCAACAATCTAATGTGGAATTTACTATTTGCCTCATTTTACACAGGAGGAAATGGAAGTTTAAGCCACTCAGCTTGTAAATGGAAGAGCTGGGATTTAACTCCGGATCTCTGACTTACTAAATTTAGAGTCACATAGGTGGATGATTTACTTTTTAGGGTGGAGGGCAGGGGAGGGTGTCATAATATTAGAGTTTTTAAAAATACAATTCATAGAAAGTACCTGCGATGTTATAAAAGGGGCAAGGTGAGCAAACCCCACTTTTATCACCAACTTCGTAGCAAGGATCAGCATGAATCCAAATCCCAGCTGGAAGTGGATTCAGGCCTTACCTTCTCATATTTCCACCCTTAGTCACCAGCCACTTCTGTGGCATTTCCTCTCTCTGACCATAACCGCCCAGAGTTAAGTCATACCTCATCCCTGGCTATCCTGAGCTGGGTCAAAACATTCCTGGCCATTTGAGACCAGGTCATCGGGAAGCAACCATAGGCTCAGGAGTCTGCACAACTCCCTGTGCTTCAGACCAGCTGGTCTCTCTCTAGTCCCCTGGGACTAGGCCACAAACTAGAAAGACTCTATCCTTCATTGACTGCCCGTGCAGCCTTTATCACCCAGCCATCCAGAACTGGGTCTATACAAATCGACTCTGTACTGCCAGCCCCTACTGGCTTATTGCCCTGTGGGCTTGTTAATTCTCTATAATGGCTCACAAAACTCATGGAGACTATTACCTATGCTTACAGTTAACCCATTTATTATAACCAGAAAGGTTACAAATGTAGAGAAGCATCAGGCAAGGTCTGGGAGAGTTCCTGGCTTGGGGCCTTCATTGTGGATGTGCCACTCCCTCTCCCATGTATAGATGTTCTTACCAATCCAGGAGGCCCCAAAAAGAGTGCTCCAAGGTTCTGGGTCCCCTAGTCATTGGGACCTCAGTGAATATGCATGACTGCATTAGGCCCTCCTCCCTTCTTGCAGTTAGTTCTCCAGGTGTGGGGCATGTGTAGCCCCTACTTGCCCAGCTATTTTGGAAGACAA